ACACACACACACACACACAAAAGCTCATCAATACTTTTAATTTACCTGTGATTTCGTACATATAAATTTATTTTTATGAAAAGGAACTCCCGTCAGTGGTCTACTTTTTATGATTTCTTGAAATTTTGTTGTTTAAGCATAATTTTAATTAAAGTAAAACATGACATTATTTTTRATTAAATATTTAACTAAAATGTCACTTGAGGTCCTCATATGTTCTGCAGTCTTTCTGCATGTTTTATTCTTTTTTAAAACCCTCCTACTACCCCTGGGTTAAAATAACACCTGAGGCCTTGTGAATTATTTTAACCAAAGGGTAGTGGGAGTTCAGTTAAAATTTCAGCTTAGAATGGCCCTCCATGTTTTTAAGAGCTTGATTAAATAGAAATATACCACTTAATAAACAATATTTGTGTTTACATTTGACTGAAGCTTTACGGGTCATTTTGACCCAATACAGAAGGGTTAAATGTTTCTAAACCTGTGACTGACTTTATTTTCCTTTACTGACACTAATTTAATATGATAATGAGCTGCACCTGTGTTTTACCTGTAAGTTTTCATGTGTGTTGAAGGCCAGGCAGGTCAGGGGTCTGCATCGCTCTGCTGTTCGTTCTGGAGCTGGAGGCATCTTTGTGGTGAGTTTGTCTCTTCATCTTGATACTTGTAACTCTCTTAAAATCTTTTTTGTCAAAGCAGATTATGACTAAACCTGACTATTTTCTATTAACGTCTTTTTTTTTTTACTTGAAGCATTTATTTTTTACTATTAGATGCTCATCTTCATGAGATGTTTTGTGTCATGGTGCTGTCTGAGCTCTAAAATGCTYTATGTGAGAGGCCAGGTGCACCCTGGACCGTTCACAGAGACACACAACCATTCATGCTCTTTTATTCTCACTATTTACCAGAAGGGTTATAATTTAGTTTATAAAACATAGTTCAAAATATACTCAACTTTCTTTTAGCAATAATTCAAATATAGTTTAATTTGCATTTTCTCTGTTAAKATTATGTTAAATCTCTTCAGAATTTCCTGATTAATAATAAAAAATTCTGACCACTGCTCAGCTTTGCACCGTGTTTTTACTGGACTAATGCCAGTGGGAATTATTTTCCAAATACTCTTTATATGTCCAGGGACTAAACCTTTAGAGCAATAAAAAAAATAAAATAATATATATGCAACATGGAAAATACTAGAGGGATGTTTTTACTAAAGCTTAATTTAAAAAAACAGTTTTAACTTTCATCATTAGTTTATTTTATGTTACATAAAAAATTATGCTTTTTAAACAGGTTTTGCTGCTCACAAGAGGGCAATGTGTACAGAAGTGCTTCCTCTCTTTGCTTTCATGACTTTTAAAACATTTTATCAGATCAAATTAATTGTTCTCCAACCTGTTACTCACACACACACACAGTTCCTTGTGGCAGTTGATAGCTGCGTCACGGTTTGATTCGAAAGCATTGAATTTAATGTCGACCAAATAAGGACCTTAAAACTCTTCTTGTCAAAAATGTTTTTCAGCACAGAGATACTCAAGACAACAATCCTGAAACTCCTTTTGAGTTCACGGAGGAAAACAAAAAGGTGACGTTGAAGCATTTTATTTGTTAAATTACAAAAAAATAAAAATAAATAAAAAGGCAGATAGTTGACGTCTGTTTTGGTTTTCCTTGTAGAGAATCCAGGTGATCCTTTCGATGTATCCTGAAGGACACAAACAAGCAGCCACCATCCCCGTCTTGGATTTGGCCCAGAGGCAGCACGGATGGCTCCCTCTCACCGCCATGAACAAGGCAAAGTGATTTCTCATAGATTTTGTTTGTTTTGTCTTTTCCAAACGTGCACCGCTTCCCAGCAGCCGGCAGGTGACTCAGAGTCTGCCTCACGCTTCAAATAACAAAGATACCACCAGACGTTATTCTTTTAAACTCATCCTGCTCAGCTTATCTAGACAACAAAAACTAAACCACTGCAGACGGAAACGTGACTTAATGCGACTTCCAATCAGTTCTAGWGTCAGATAAATCTTGTTATATCAATAAATTAGTTATTGTGGTTTTCACAGATGATAGTTAGCTGATTCTTTTTTCAACTCCGATAAAAACTARTTAAATTTGAGACTCGACTAAAATTTATCGGCTGTTTTTAACTTGAACTAACACTGCTTTGTTTAACACAATGGTGCACGTGTGTAGCTTCAAAAAGATTGTTTCTTTTGTGATAAAAAAAAAACACGAAAACGAAGATTAAGAAAACTCTGCAAACCCTTTTGTGTTGTGGGGCTAATCTTCTGACTTTCATGTCAAAAGGTGATATTTACAGCTGCTTCTATCCATCCAGAACCGTTTTACATGTTGCTGCTGCCTTCAGTCTGGTTTATCAATAATTGTGAGGATTTTACATCATGTTGAGAAAACTTCAGTGAGACTTTAAAAAAGGTAACACATCTCTGGGCTGCGGCTGTTGGAGACCAGTTGGTGACTCGGATTTGTGAGAATGTTTGCTGAATTTTTTGTTAGTCTCCTCACTAATTTATGAATGATGAGTGTGGTTGTGGTGCAGGGGTAGAGCAGCCTTTTTTTGGGACTGTAGAGTTGCCGATTAGATTCCCTGCCATGCTCACATATTGTGTTTTTCTTGAACTAAACACCTATTTCCCTAACCGCTCTCTGGGGCTTACATAGCTGCCTACTGCTCCACTCGAGTAGCTCACGTGTGATGGTTCAAATTCAGAGAACCAATTTGTGTCTTTGTACATACAATGACAACACTTTTTTACTAACCACCTGCAAGGCATGACTAAACTATCCCAGAGCTGTGCGATTTTTTTTTTAATTTGCCAACCTTCAGCGGCCTTTCTCACTTTTATAGTTTCAATTTTAGGCCTTWAAAAGTCTTAAATGATCCAGATTTTCTATTMTAGCTTCATTTAGTTACATTTTGAGTTTAGTCGTTTGTTTATCCATCACTTCTCTTGTCAACATTTTTTGTAATGTGTTGGATTTCAAATGTTTTGTGATACAACAAAAGGAGGATTCCCATCATGCATCAGCCCCTTTGGATAGTTTATTAAATRTGTGCGTAAAGGGTTCAAAATATCTCAGTTTAGCTCATTTCACATGATTTTAGTAACACTCTCCACTCCTCGATTCCCTCCCCCAAAATGATTCTACTTCTGTCAACTCCACTGGATTTTTCTGTGAGGAAGGCTGAATATTTGTAAACTCTTTCCGACTGGGCCGATGCATGGTGAGACTTTTTATTTTGTTAAAACCTGTGAAATCCTCAGAGTGAATGAACACCAACAGCACGTTATTTWAAAAAAAAGTTGACAAAAGCAGCGATGGTCGAACAAACGACTAAATGCAAGACGCAACTAAATGAACCTAAAATAGAAAATCACATTTCATCTCTTAACAGGAGAATTTCCTTAACTGATTGCTGAATARGTTTGCTGTTTTAACACATTTTATGAAAACCCCCAACATTTAATTAAAGCAGAAAAAAACATAARTTGATGACCATTTTGGGTTTAAAGTGTACAGTTCAGTCCTGTTCTCAGGTTTATCTGAATAAAACCATGAAAAAGATGAATGCAGACGTGACCATCACATGTACGGCTGAGTTTTGTTGTTTTAACAAACTGRTGAATCCATTGTTTACATTTTCTCTTCCAGATCAGTCGAAACAATCAGTTTTATTTGAATCTGGGTAAATTATATTCAAGCATTTGGGTAATCTGAATGTTCATAATCTACTCGTGTTCAGGTTGCTGAGGTGCTGGGCGTCGCTCCGATGAGGGTGTACGAAGTGGCGACGTTTTATACCATGTTTCAGCGTCAGCCTGTGGGAAAGTACTTCATTCAGGTCTGCACAACAACACCGTGCATGCTCTGCAACTCCGACAGCATCCTGGAGGCCATCCAGAACAAACTGGGTGAGTTGCACTTTGAGAAACCGACAAAACGACAAAAATCCAGACAATTGTTTATTTTTATTGTGCTTTTTTTTTGTCAAACAAAAACACGTCGATGTACTAGAAAAACAGGGCAGTGAAAGTAAAACCAACACAATGTTTTTGTTTTCTTTGAGTCGGCACATATTTAGTTTTGCTTTCTGTCGTTAGATATCCGAGCTCGGGAGCAAAGTTGTTCAATGTTTTTCAGTTTCAGGAGATTAACTGCATCTCTCCGCAGGTATTAAGGTCGGAGAAACCACTGCGGACAAGATGTTCACTCTAATAGAAGTGGAATGCCTGGGCGCCTGTGTGAACGCTCCCATGGTCCAGATCAACGACAACTATTATGTGAGTGCTTCGACTCCTCTGACTGCGTTACTAAAAAAAATAGATTAAAACCTGAATTAGTTGAAAGTCTTCAGAGCTGGAGTCGATCAGTGCAGATACGGTTAAAAACTACACGTTTATCAGCGACGTTAGATGATTTCTGAACTCAAAATTTGGAAATAATTTAATTAACTAGAAGAGATATWAAAATTCTCTTGGGTTTGTTGTTAAATGTTCTGCTTTGGGAAAGTGAGTTACTGCAAGCAAAGCACAACTGATTGACCTAATTAAAGAGTGGAAAAAGGAGGATTTCTGTTAAACTACAAACTGCTGAGATATGAGTATTAAATAGCTGAGGTGCCGTTTATTGCCAGCAACAGTAGCCAGYAGTGATTTTTATCATTTTAGGTGAATAATCAGTAATCTGAAATGCAGACGATCCTTAGAATCAAGATGAGAGAGGTCTATTTTACAGTTTTTGTTTTGTTACTATCATAGTAATGTCAGCTTATTATGATGATAAAATGATAAAAGTTTCAAACATTTTAACTGGAACAAATGATTTTTCACTTTTAACTTTCAAAGCAGACAGTTTTAGGAAAATTAGCATATTAAACTCTTTTTATACCTAACAACTTCCCAATTATAGCGTTTATTATGTTGATGATTAAATGCTTTTAACATTGCGTTTGGGTTTTAGTTGGTGTAAAAAATACAATTAATTGTCCATTGACAGTTTGGACCCTTTTTTTTAAAATTTGGACTAGTTTTAAAATGTTAAAATCTGAATAGAATGAGGACTTTTTTTATTAATTAATTATTTATTTGCAAGTAAGCACAGTGATAAACTGATTGGTTTCATTACAAAAGTTAAAGTTTAGTGTCGGCCACCTGTTTAGTATTTAATGACAAAGAAAATGTCTRGCTGATGTTTATTATTCCTCTTTAATTCTCGTCCTTAGGAGGATCTTACGCCTAAAGATATCGAGAATATTATTGATGAACTGAAGGCAGGAAGAGTCCCAGCACCTGGACCAAGGTACATGGATTATATTTTCATGTTTTCCTAGTCGGATCCTGTGAATTCATRGTTTTTATTTTTTGCAGGAGCGGCCGTTTCTCGTGTGAGCCTTCAGGCGGACTGACGTCCCTGACAGGACCTCCTACAGGACCAGGATTCGGTGTAAGACCGGACCTGTAGACATACTTGAGCCACTTGATCAAATTCTTTGGAAGGATTTTGACCCCTGTGCTATTAATATTCTGTAAATAAAATGTTAATGTACCCGTTGTCTACCTGTGTGTCYTTTATTTATTATCATTATATACTAATATAAAACAGTTACAATGTTATTGCACAGGCCTCAAATTACATCTTTGTATGCTCCTGTAAATGCAAGTGGTAAATTAACTTTTTTTAAGCAAAGTGAGGCAGCCATAGAAAACGTGAATTAAGAACTATACTTTATTTTTGCAAATATCTGACTGCTACATTGCTGAAGAATGACAACTGGCCATTTTACAAACGGTTTTAGTCAAATAGTAATTATAAATTACTAGCTTTGCCTAATTAAAAATACTACCTGTATTTTAAAAAGGGTGACACCTTAAAGTGTGATTATACATTTTAAGTYTTTAATAAACAATCATTAAACAGACAAAACAGCTTCCTGGTAAGTTGCATTGGWGGCCGATGCCCCTCCCCCATCTCCAACCCTGCTTTGCGACGTTCTGACGCATGCGCAGTCCACCGTYATGCAAATGTCACTGCGCAACAAATTCTAAGCTGACTCATGCAGAGAAATGGCGGGCATTAAATAACATTTAACGCTATCAGCTTYTTTTTGACATTTGAACAAATAGCGAAAGCATTAGGCAGAATGTTAAAAAAACCGGAACCACTATTAGTCTTTTCAACCTCAGCCTTGATCTTCGAGAAAGTTCCCACAGACCGCAACAGCAGCGGAAAAGATGACGTCAAGCTGCCGTTCCTGCTCTCCCATCTCTCCCGCTCCAAACCAGTCCGAATTCACACGCCAAACGCTGCCTGTGGACGCCGAGCATTTACGAACACGGCAGCACGATTACCACGAGCATTAGAAAGTGCGGATTTACTCACAGCTTTTGACAAAATACCACCTAAAACCGTTTGACACATCCCCACCTACCCAGTCTTTTTTTTTTTTTTTTGCCCCAGCGCACGGAGARCTTATAAACTCGGTGGGGCTCGGGRGGGTCACGTGACTCCGCCTCGACCAATGGCAGCGGCGCTTGCATGTTTTGCTGGGCTTTTCTCGGAGACAGACGAACGGCTGGGATGTTTTCAAAAGCAGCGATGAACGTCACGCAGCCGTAGGCTACGGTTAACGTACGACATTTAGAAGAATAACTGTCAAAATAGCTCGATATTCGCCATTGACGTAACGTGGATGAGTCAGTGGGAACGTGCGACCCGATTTACAGGTAAGCGCAAAGCGTTTCTTGCGGGTAAAATTWGCTYGGGTTAAAAAAAAAATCCTTGTTAGCCATCTGGCTTGAACGAACAGGCTAATGTGAAGCTAACTTGACGTCAACTTAAAATGAATGTTGTGTGTTTGCGTGGGTTCGGTATAGCTGTGTGCCACGTGCGTTACACACACTGACCAGTTTCTACCCGGTAACAGACATTTCTGCCATTATCCGCCTTTTTTTTTTTTTTGCGGGGCGGTAAGTCGCTTTGCGTTTAAACGCGACTATCCAGAGAAGCGGCAGGGAAAATGTCGGAGCGGAGCACGGCGGCGAGTTGCCCCCCGTCAGCCAGGGAAGCGATGACGGGGCTCGGAAACGCTGAGGAGGGGGGGAACGAGTGTGAGGGGCAGCGAAAAAAAAGGGGGGGCTGCAGTCAGTCAGTGGGGCTTTTGTCTCAGGCTTTGTGTTTAAATTTTTTTTTTCTTTTGACATTTAAAAAAAGAGATGTGAACTGACTCACCGTTTGACCACGCAGCACCCTTCAGCTACGTGCAAAACGCTTTGGATCCCATGAAAAATATATATATTTTTGCATAAATCTGCACTTAAACACAAATGTAGCGCCCAGCATATTTAGCTTTTTTTTGTCAGCGACACAAACCTAAAGTGGGTGTTGGTGTCTGCAGTGATCTGACCACCGTTTATTTACAATCGGTGCTGTTTTTATTTTTATTTAATTGCTGTCTAATCTAGTGTGAGATATGGTTATGATTTGTTAATACACACAAGGAGCTCGCATAGCTCCAGTAATTAGGAGCTTTCGCCTCCGAGCCATTCACTGTGACATCTTGGGGGTGTGTTGCCTGACACAAAAGCTGCTTGTGTTCTTATGGCTGGCTGTGCAACCAACTAGACGTTTAACGTTGACATTAATATCACAAAAAAGTTCAAATTATGTAATGCTGTACAACTGAAATTACACACAATCACATGAATTTAGATACATGTTGATTAAAGTCATAAATTACACAATTCTCTATCATATTTCTGTATGTTTTGTCATATGTCAGTGTGTATTTTGTAAGGCAAGGACGATCGTGGTTGTAGCTGGATAAAGAAAGACATTTTGTGTTTGTGTTTTTAATTCAAATGGGCTTTATTCTAACCAAATCTGTAGTTTCAGACAGTGAAGAAGGGGCTCACCAGGGCTCCTACGCAGCCTCTAAATGTCTGGTGAAGCAGAATTATTCTTTAGTATTTTCCAGGATTGGATGGAAAATATGTTGTCTAAGATACAATGGCTGTGTCCAAAACGACAGGCCGGGTCCTCCGGAGGACCCAGACTCCCCGGTCTCGGCGGGCC